CCAACCAGCATCTAGAAAACTTATCTCCGATATCTTTTTCAGAAGCCTTGTGAGCTTTTGCTAAAGGCTAGGTCAAACCTCTTTTAACCAAATCATACCTAAAATACCTTGCATCACAGCAGAACAAAAAAGGCTCAGTGTTGTAAGATCCTGTAGAAAAATTGTATCAAATTTAGAATAATCGATGAGTGGATGTAATATCCATAAAAAAGATAAATTGGAGGATTGTGATCTTTTTTGAATCACCTCAATCAATCATTTCGATTTATCCAGCCTGTGAAGGATCATATAATCTATGAATCACCATTGCCTAGATTTCTGAACTGTGTGAGTCTCCAATGTCAGAAAGAGCTGCATGCAAGTGATGAGGTGAATCACAATTCAGTGATTTGTGGATATCTAAGACCTTTGGATCCACACTTCAGTCTCACCATTTCATACTCTTTGCACATATGACTGTTCAACCATGTCTAATTGACTTTAATACATTTCTCCTTTCCCATCACAGGTGCCAACAATCCCCAACACGTGTACCAGAGATGACACATAATGCCTTTTCTGTTGGCACATGCTTTCCGCCCATATGCAGAGTGATGCAGGGAAGCAATGCCAAGACATGCTAGTGCAAGAGAATGGGTTGGTTGCGAAAGGTGGATCATCTGGGACCAGTGCACCAGTTGATGTCTTGCTCCTGCCTTTCTGTGCCCCTCTGCATATGGGTGGTGAAGAAAAAACAAAAGAGAAGATAATAATAATTATAAGAAGGGAGTCTGTGGGCCAGTAGCAGAACCTACCCAGTGCAGAGGGGGTGTGCTGTGTATAGGAGGATACTAGCAGCTAGGCACAGTGAGAATGCCAGGGTACACACGGGTCTACTCCAGGTCGTAAGAGACCATTGTCTGTACTTTGGGTCACTTACTTCCGACCCCTGAACTCTGCATTATTTAATCGTGACTCCTGCTCTCTGCATTTCCTGCTCGCGTCACAGGCACTCTGCATTACTTCTTTATATGCACATATATTTCTTTCTCCTAATGACTATTCAATCCAGGACCAACCAGCAATGTAAGAGACACTGCTACAAAATATTAACCACTGCAGTCTTTATACTGTGCTGTATGCTGCCTACTCTTGACCAAAGTAATTGTTGTTTCAACAGTTGCTGGTTACTAAATAATCCGGTCAGGGCCACTGTTAAAAATCATGGGGCCCCATACCGCCTACTTGATGGGGCTCCCCTGACTCCACACCCTGACCGGCCCCAAGACCCCACCCAACTATCGGGGTTGCTTTGTGCAAAACCATTACATAAAACAGGTAAGCATAACATGTTTGCTATTTTACTTAAAAAAAAAAAAGCTTTAAAACCACTTTAAGATGCTTCTTAGCTGTAAAGTCACTTTTTTTGTGGTTCTCTTCCCTACACAAATATGACATTTCCTTGCTCCTGCAGTCTCATGGGATATAACATCATCACATATCCCAGAAGACTGCAGGAGGAGGGACACACAGTGGTGTGTCATCAGAAGCTGGCTGGAGGAGGAGACAGTTGGCTACTGATGATGAGGAAGGGAAGATGGTAACGCAGGACCCAACATGTGGTAGAGGAGTAGTCAGTACATTGCTGGGCATGTATGTTAATTGTGGGTAAGTTAGCAAAATAAGGAGGGGGGTTCACAAAAATTTCCATGGGGAAGAAGAGGGGAATGGTGAAGGGCTTCTTGAATCACTTGAGCCCTGAGCCCTTTTGTCCCTAAATCCCCTTGAGTAACTGTTTTCCTTTTTTTGGCGATGTCTTGGTTTCAAATATTATATACTTTAGTATTTGCACTCTTCCTAGCAATAGTACAGCATATGAAGTTGTGTTGAGTAAATAGATACCAAACATGTCAAGAATAAAAATTGTGCACACCCGTTAAACGGCAACAAACTACGGTACCTACAATTGTCCATAGGTGACACTCTAAAAGCCTTTACAGGTTACCAGTTTAGAGTTAGCTAGGAGGTCTGGTGCTAGAATTATTGCTTTTTTATTTTTTTTTGTTCAACGATATTGAATTTGTTTTCCTTTTTTTGGCGATGTCTTGGTTTCAAATATTATATACTTTAGTATTTGCACTCTTCCTAGCAATAGTACAGCATATGAAGTTGTGTTGAGTAAATAGATACCAAACATGTCAAGAATAAAAATTGTGCACACCCGTTAAACGGCAACAAACTACGGTACCTACAATTGTCCATAGGTGACACTCTAAAAGCCTTTACAGGTTACCAGTTTAGAGTTAGCTAGGAGGTCTGGTGCTAGAATTATTGCTTTTTTATTTTTTTTTTGTTCAACGATATTGCTATCACAAGGGATTTATATCATCCCTTGTGACAGCTGGGGCAGTGACAGGTCCTCTTTATAGAGAGATTATTTATTTATCGAGTTTATAAAGCGCCAAAGGGTTTGCTCAGCGCTGTACAATAGAGGGGGGGACAATACATGAAACAGTACAGTAACATCAAACAGCACACAAGGGGTAAGAGGGCCCTGCTCTTTCGAGCTTACAATCTAGGAGATTAGGGTTCTATTAGACCTCTGATCCCTCCCCTGCCCTCCAAGGCAACTGAAAAAAAACAGATTGGTTTGAATGGTTGCTTTCCTGGCCAGTACCAGCCAGGCAAACACAGAACTGAAACCAGAAGTGATGGAATCCTCATAGCTCGTAGTCTCCAGCTTCATTAGTCACAGAGGGGAGGGAGAAACTCATGTTCCTTGCTCTATTCTGTTTGCTACCAACCCGACTGCTTACAGCAGGACAGCCCCGGAACACGGGTGGGTTGTGGGTGAGCCGAACAGCGGTAATAATTTTAGCTGCATAAAAATCATCAGGGTCATAGTATATATTTTTCCACTCCGGTGATTTGCAGTGTAAAGGTAAGCAGTTGGGACAGTAAAAAAATGCGCAGCTGAGCTTCTCATTTTTACTATACCCCCAAACACAAGTGTAAATGAGACCTAAGGCCCCTTTTGCACAATCTGTCCAACTGGGTCTGCCTGTCAGTTTTTCAGGCAGACCCAATCAGATTTTCCATTCACCTCTATGGTGCGGCGGATGTAAATGGACGTGTGTCTGTTTACATGCGCATTCCTCTGACCCGGTTCACTAAAAAAAAACAAAAGGGGATCCGTCCTCCTCCCTCTAGGTGGATTGGAGAGCTGTTGGATAAAAATGGACAGTGGACAGATATCTGACTGCCCATAGAGCAGAGTGGGCTTGGTCCTGCACCCAGAGGTGTCAGGGGGCCAAAACTTAGGGTACTTATAAGTGAGATCTATCCCGACTTATGCGCCAGGTTTGGGGGTCTTTAGCCCAAAATTTCCAAGTCAACTTTTCACGGGGCCCGTAGGAACAGTGTGGCCCCCCGGACGGTTCCATGGGGTGAAGAGTACCAGGTACCATTGCAAACTACATACTCTTAGATACACAAATTTTGGCTGGAGGGAGTTCGAGACTAGCACTGCTAGGCCCTTAAGCCCCCTGGTGCTGACACCTTCTCATCGACCAGTACGACCTACCATCTAATAGGCACTAGTAATAATTACATATAAAATCCGACACGCTGGTTGCACCCAAGTCATACAACAATTGACTTGGGTGCAATCAGCCTTCCCATACATGGTTCGAATCCCTGCTACTGAACCAGCTGAGATCCGAACCATCTATGCTATGGCTGGGATAAGGATACACTGTCCTTCCTTCAATGATCATCATGGTAATCACGCAATACAGGTGATGGGGCTTTTGCTTTGTGTTTACTTAGTTTACTCACTAAATATTCCTTTTCAGTAGACCTTTTGTTTTATATATCTAGCACTCCCAATTTCTTACAAACATTTTTTGGTACACTACACTCAAAAAGCTGCCTTTGCTGGTTCAAACACATCCATGTTACCTATTTTTTATTCTTACTGCATAACCAGTTGTACAACAATCTTTGTACGCGGTGTACATTATTATGTGTTTTTTTTTCCTTTAATATACTTTAATTCAAATATAATTGGGAATAATCAGGATTATTTTGGTTTAACTAGGCCATTATCTTGCCCATGCCTACAATACATTACTTTGTTGTGTATGAATATCAGTTTTATTTAATGTAAGGACCAATGCTGTGGAGGCTGTAAAATAGACAGTTCATTACCAGTCAATATCCTCTTTGGCACCAAGCTGTCCCATTTTATATATCCTTGTTCTGTAATCATCCAAAATTCCTGGCATAATATTTACTTTCCTCTCTCCAGCATTTTCCGTATTTTAATGCAATTTTAATTAAATAAGTCACCACAGAAGTAATGTTCTAAGTATATTGTTGCTTACATTGCATTTAACTCTTCACCGATTACTATATGTAAAGTGTATGTAAAACATATGTAATGATCCTCTATAATATTGCTTTCTTTTGGTCTGTTAACCACTTGCCTACAGGGCACTTATACCCCCTTCCTGCCCAGGCCACTTTTCAGCTTTCATTTCTGTCGCACTTTGAATGACAATTACGCGGTCATGCAACAATGTACTCATATGAAATTTTTATCACTTTTTTGAGACAGAGCTTTCTTTTGGTGGTATTTAATCACCTCTGAGTTTTTTTTTTTTTTGCTAAATAAACCAAAAACACCTGAAAATTTTGAAAAAAAAAAATTTTTTTCTTAGTTTCTGTTATAAAATTTTGTAAATAAGTGATTTTTCTCCTTCACTGATGTGCACTATTGAGGCTGCAGTGATGGGCACTGATGGGCAGCACTGATGGGCACTGATCAGGGGGCACTGGTAGGTGGCACTGATAGGCATTGACAGACATCACTGATGGGCACTGAAAGGCAGCACTCATATATGGCACTGATAGGTGGCACTGATAGCCAGCACTGACTGGAACTGATAGGCAACACTGACTGGCACTGTTAGGCAGCACTGACTGGCACTGATAGGTGGCACTGACTGGTACTGATAGGTGACTGATTGGCAGCACTGATAGGCAGCACTGACTGGCACTGATATGTGGCACTGACTGGCACTGATAGGTGGCACTGAAAGGCAGCTTAGATGGGCACTGATATATGGCATTGATGTGCACTGGTAGGCACTGATATGCAGCATTGATGTGGCACTGGCAGGTGCCATTGATGGGCACTGACAGGTGGCACTGATGAGGCTACATTGATCATCAGGGCACACTGATCATCAGTGACCTGATGATCCCTGTACATGTCCCCTCTGAGTAATGCCGATTACTGGCTCTCCTCTCCTCATGAGCTGTCAGCGTGACAGCTCGTGAGGAGAGGAATGCCGATAACCAGCATTTCCTTATTTACATGAGATCAGCTGTGATTGGACACAGCTGATCTCTTCAGACACAGCTGACTCTGAAGTCATCAGCTCTTTCCGTTGATTGGTAATCCGCTGTGTCCCAGGGACACAGCGCACCACCGATCGCCGCGCTGAGGGGCACGCACATGCAGTTAGAGTGGGAGGACATCATATGACACCCTCCCAGAAAGAGAGAACCGCGTTGCGCCCGTCATTTCCTTATATGGCGGACAGAAGGCAGTTAAAGACCACAGAAGGATCTATTATTATACCATAGAAACATAAATGCGTTCTGTGATTGGAAGAGGCAAGTTGTATCATTCATTTGCCCATCCTCCACTTACAGAACACTTAGGGGTTGATTTACTAAAGGCAAAGAGACTGTGCACTTTTCAGGGTGCAGTTGCACTCTGCAAGAGCAGTTGCTCCAGAGCTTAGTAAATGAGAAGATGCTCTGCTGACATCCATCATCCAATCATGTGCAACCAAAAATGCAGTTTGTTTTTTTTTTTTTTACTTTCCTTGCATGTGATTGGGTATTCTTTGCAAAGTAAAGCTTTACCTTATTTAGTAAGCTCTGGAGCAACTGCACTTGCAAAGTGCACAGTCTATTTGGCTTCAGTAAACTATCCCCTTAGTTCTAGAAAGAACAGTGCAAGTTCTATGACTGGAGGAGGTGGGCAAGCAGTGCAACTATTTTACACTGGCAGCTGCTGTGGGGAGATTTATATGCTATGCAGCAGCCAGCTGGAGATGGGACACACTTCGATACAGTTATGTGCTGTAAACCCCAAAAAATGGAGCTAAACTTCGACTTTACGTATAACTCCGAGATTTGCATAAAATGGTTGACACTCATACGGGATATTTTAAGATGTCTTCTTGTTTTAGAGATGGTTCCAGTGACTGCATTTCATTTGACCATCTTATGAATATTTATACAAAATTTCTCAGTAACTTTTATTTAAAAATATGCATCTGTTTAATTGCAAAGGAAAGGTCTAGTTCCAGCAAAAGGAATCCACAGTATGATTTATCAACTAGTTTCTATCACTGTTGCATGCTGTAATTGTATTTATGTTTTTAAGGCAATACTTTTATTTCATATTATTTACATTATATCTACAACAGCCAAGTCCTGTGTCACCACATTTTTTACTGTATTTTGCTTGCAAATGTCTAAATATACAGTTGTGCTCAAACGTTTGCATACCCTCTTTTATTTAAGGATAGAGATCACATGAGGCCATTTATTATCACATAGGTGTTCGGCTCCTTGTTAAATCATAATGATAACAGAAATGACCCAAATGGCCATGATCAAAAGTTTACCTACCCTGGAATGTTTGGCCTTGGTACAGACACACAAGGTGACACACACAAAAGTTAAAATGGCAAAAGGTAAAGATTGATTTTCCACATCTATGTCTCTTTAAATTGCAGTTAGGTTCTGTGTATAAATAGTCAATGAGTTTGTTAGCTCTCATGAAGATGCGATGCACTGAGCAGGCTAGATACTGAGCCATGGGGAGCAAAAAAGAAACATCAAAAGACCTGCGTAACAAGGTAATAGAACTTTATAAAGATGGAAAATGATATAAAAATATATCCAAAGCCTTGAATATGCCAGTCAGTACTGTTCAATCACTTATTAAGAAGAGGAAGATTCGGGGATCTCTTGATACCAAGCCAAGGTCAGGTAGACAAAGAAAGATTGCAGCCACAACTGCCAGAAGAATTGTTTGAGATGCAAAGAAAAATGCACGGGTAACCTCAGGAGAAATACTGGCTGCTCTGGAAAAAGACGGTGTGGTTGTTTCAAGGAGCACAATACGACAATACTTGAACAAAAATTATCTGCATGGTCAAGTTGCCAGAAAGAAGCCCAGTTACAATATGCCCGACAACACCTTGACATGCTTCTCTGGGCTTTTTGGTGGCATTGGTGCAGTAAAGGCTTCTTTCTGGCAACTTGGCCATGCAGATAATTTTTGTTCAAATATTGTCATATTGTATCGTATCAGATTTTGATTTAAAAAGCAGCCAAACAACTATGTGATAATAAATGGCTTCATATGATCCCTACCCTTAAATAAAAGACAGGTATTCGGCATGATCAGTCATATTTTTTAAATAAATGCCAACATTTCTGTATATTTTTCTACTAGTATAATTGCATTCACTGCCCTCTCACTCCAGTGTGCTGCTCCTCAGCTGCTCCTCAGCAGTGGGGAATCTGTATATTTTCACAGATCCACCCCTGACTTGTCAGTCTCAGAAAGGTGGACAATGCTGGCTTAACTCCTTGAATATGCGGCCTCTCGGTGTCTGGGCATTGATGATGAGCTGCCGTATATTTGCGTGCCATTAGAAAATACATATGTGCTGGGAGCCCGCACCCTGTCCATGACATATGTCCATGACTCACGGAAAGGTCCTGATTTCCCCTTGCAATTGGGACCTTTTTCGATCACGTGACTGCAGTGACGGCGAATCACTACGGTCACATGACCCTAAAACCCCACCCGCCTCCGGCTTCTGAAACTCTTAAAGAGCTGAGAGGTGCCGGCGCCAAGAGGTTAAGAATACTAGAAGAGATGAGCAATGCCCCTATTTCATGTTACAAGCATTCTCAGGCAGAGCCCAAGTCTGTTAGACTGTGGAGTACACTGGGCAGTTTAGATAAACTCTGGTGCTGATTGAACTGCTTATTGGTATTTAAGAAAACCTGTGCAACGTCTATAGCAAAGAAGGTGGAGGTAAGAATAAATGAGGTTAGTAGGCATATCTATTGCTTTACCCTTAAGGTTTCTAGCCTACAATTGCTAGGTAGTGGACACAGGACAATAGTTTGCACAGTCCCCTCTCACAGCAGTCCCTAGTTCTGCAAATATGTACTTGCAGTAATTACCGTTTCACTGGCTACAGCATACAACTGTATTTTATAGTAAGCAGAAAGCAACAATGAATTATAGTGATGTTTTGTATGCAAATTAGCCCTGTCCCCGTAACCCACTTCTGCTGCATTATCCATGAAAAAGCATGATGGATTTAGCAGGGTAAAATGATATAATTGACACAACCCACAGCAGCTGTAGAGCAATACGGACTTGTCCCAGTCTGAGAAATACCTACTAAAGTACTGTAGAGTCAGCCCTGCAGTAATGTGAAATCACCCAAAGCAACCGTGTAGACATTGGCTTTCAGCAATTTGTAGTCTGACTTGGGGCTTGTTCACACTTGACTAAATTTCTAACTCTTCAAAAATGCTCCTATAGTGTTATTATGGGCTTTAGACAGGCATTAATGAGCTTTAGTATGGGCTTTAGACAGACATTAATGAGCTTTAGTATGGGCTTTTTACAAGTGTTAAAAACGCTCCCCAAATGCCCTATGCGCAGTTTTGAGGCATTTGTGGTGCGGTTTTAACACTTGTAAATCGCCTGTAAATAAACTCCAATGGTATTAACGCTCCACAAGCACCTGCCAGGGCGTTTGAGGAGCATCACCATAGACTTGAATGGGAGGCCTTGAAAGGTTTCAACTCCTCCTGACTCAACATGAGGTGTCAAATTTGAAGTGATGCAACGCTAATGCTTCATGTTTTGATCATGTGAACAGCACTGTGTGCTGCCCATAGTATAATTTCCATAGGTGTTTGAGGAGCGTTAAAAACGCCCCTCAAATGCCTGCTTTCAAAGCTAGTGTTAACTAGGCCTAAGGATGGGCTTTGTTTCTTAATGTTCCATTTTGTACTCAAACTCAGTGCTGCTCAAATGCATACATATGAACAAATTCATGTGTTTGCTCCAAAAGCTGTACAGATATTTGTGTACAGTTTCTCTTGCTAGCCCTGGCACAAGTTGAAATACAGAAACAACATTTATTCTGCATTTGCTTGTAAGTTATTAACTTTTGAAGCAACATTGAATATATATCGGGTTGTTTTACTAAAGGCAAATAGCATGTTCACTTTGCAAGGGAAGTTGCACTTTGCAGAAGAATTTACCCCAGAGCGTTACTTTGCAAAAAATACCCAGTCAAAGAAAGTAGAAAACAGCATTTTTGCTTGCACATGATTGGATCACCGTTTATACTACATTATGGTGACTTTAAAAAAGGCACCAATTTGCATTGTATCATAGTTACATAGTTAGTCTGGCTGAAAAAAGACAAAAGTCCATCCAGTTCAACCATAGAAGAAAAAAAAAAGTTATAATCCTATACCCACAGTTGAACCAGAGGAAGGCAAATAAACCCCAGCAAAGCATGGTCCAATTTGCTCCTGCTGGGAAAAACATTCCTTCCTGATCCTCCGATGTGTCATCAGATGAGTTTTATTTTCCCTGTTTAGACCCTCAATGAAAAAGACTTCACCAGATAGAGAGGCATTGGCAAATTAGCTTGTGTTAGAACAGACCTTACATGGCAAAAGGAGGAAAGTCCCTGACTCAACACAGATTGCTTTAAAAAACCCATTTGGAAACATTCTCTAAAAACAAATAAACATACCTACCTTGGCCCAGGCCACCTATGATTGCAGGAGGCACAGGTGATGCCGCCATGTTTTCTGGCAGAGCTGGGAGCTTACAATCTCATGACAAAGCACTCTTGCAATGAGCTGGAATGCATTCTTGTGGGATTCCAAGCTCCCAGCACTGGGGTGTCAAAAAAGTCAGCCTTCCATTTTCTGTAGAAGGTCTGATCTAATGAAAATGTTATACTTTTCTTAAATATGTGGTTATGTGATTATGGTTATTTTAGATACAATGCTTAGTCAGCAACACATGTGGGGTTTTGTCTTCCTTAATCACACTAATCCATCTTTTTTTTTTAAATTAGCTTTCATATTTGGTACACAATGAATTACTCAGGGAACAGAAATGTTCACATAGCAAAGTGAATGCTCACTGAGCCTAGTGAAGGTGGACCTGTGGATACTTCAGTCATACTGTGTATTCACTTGTGAATAATAATCCTGTTTTTTATTTTTTTTATTACCCACACATGGGATTGGATTTTTTGAAATAAACATTCACTTTGCTATGTGAATAGTCACTATACTGTTAGTAAACCAACCCCCATATTTTGCATTTTGAAGTGCTCATTCATCTGATTTCTTATAAGGTTTGGAATTCAGTCTATAATCTGGTTTTGTACATTTTGATGGTCAGCTGTCTTA